GATGGCATCTGCCAGGAAGCAGAGCTTCTCAAAGACAGGCAGCAAATCAATTAACAAATTCGCCTGAGGGAGCCTGGGAGCACCAGCGTATCCTGAGCGGCCGAACCTACGAGGACATGAAGCCAGGAGCCACCGACGGACTGGGCCAATCAAAGGGCAAACAAGAAAATCGACACTGGACACCCTGTGCGGACCCCCCGACCCACGCGGGAGGACGCCAGAGTATAACCCCACAGCAATGCACCCTAGCAGCATTGTTTTCGTAGGGATTTCAAAGAACTGCACGGACCAGAACCGAGTCACCGTCCTTTCCAGGACGAGCAGCGCCCACTCAATAAGCAAACTCGGGAACGCGGCCTCGAAGTCAGTAAAGAGCTGGGCCAGACCATCATGCCCTTCCAAATTGGCAAGCACCCCATCAGCTTCACAGGCTATTGTCCAGGATCGACCGGCCAGGAACGCCCCCAGACTGCAGAGAGTGAGTGAACTGAACGTTGACTCTGGGCGAAGGGTACGCGACGGCGGCAGCAACCAACTTACAGTCTGCGCATCCCACAGACAGTGGGCGAGTGGAGGAAGGCTTGCGGGCAGGCGCCGCAAAGTCATCAGACGGATGGTCTCCTTTCGCCAAGCACACCATGATAATTTCATGAACGTCTTCAGGAAGAGGGACGTGCAGAGGGGAGATGCAATATTGTGATGCTAATGAGGATGAGGATGAGGATGAGGATGATGATGACGATGCTGATGCTGATGCTGATGATGGCGATGATGATGATGATGATGATGATGATGATGATGATGATGATGATGATGATGATGATGATGATGATGATGATGATGATGATGGTGATGATGGTAATGATGGTAATGATGCAGATGATAATTCTGATGATTATGATGATGCTGCTGACGATGATGGTAGGGGGTCATGATTACGGTGGTGTTTGTGACGATGGGGAGAAAGGACGAGGAGAATGACGAACTGGACGGAGGAGTGAGGAAGAGGAGAAGCGGTAGATGAGGAGAGGAGAGGAGATGAGACGCGCGGCGCGGCGGACCGGGACAGCTACTCCCAACACACGAGGACAAGACCGACCGAGACGGGGAGCGGCGATTCCGTAATCGTGGGAGCGGGTGCCGTCCCCAACCCACGCGCCCTGATTCGTGTTTGCGCTTCCCCCCGCTTCGCCTGGCTGCTCGATGTTAGCCAGCGTAGGCCCAAACAGTGCGTTTCTGGCACAATGTGGTGTGCGATCTGTTCGGAGCAAGCGATGTGGAGCAAACCATTTGGTGACCTATTATGTGCAACCCATGGTGTGCAACCCATGTTGCGCAATCCATGCTGTGCAGCCTCTCTGGAGCAACATATGCGGTGCATCCTATGTTGTGCAATGCTTGTGGGGCGATCTATGTGGTGCAATATATGTGGTGCTTTCTAGGGTGTGCAATCTGGGTAATGCAGTCTATGTGGTGCTGCCTATGTGTTGCACTCTAGTTTGTACGATCCACCTATACTGCTCCCTTCGGGTGATAAGGAGGTCGGGGGGTATGGGGGGGAAGAGCCAACTGCTGACAAATAGGACGGGTGTGATAATGACATGACGATGCTGGTGACGCGCCCTCGAGGTAGTGACGACGCGTGATGACGACGTTGCGCTGCGATGTAATGCCAATATCGTCCCCACTTTCGACCTCGCTCGATGGACTCCGACCTCACAGGAATCGATCACACTCGATCACACTCGGTCGACATCACTACAGATCTCACTATAGATCTCGCGTTGGATCTCACGATCGATAGCACTATCGATCCCACGATCGATCTCGCTATCGATGACACTATCGATTGCTCTATCGATCTCACTATCAATCCCACTTGCGATCTCATGGCCAATGCCACGATCAGCCTCACTGTAGATCTCACTTTTGCCTTCACGATCCATCCTTATCTGGCGACTTCATTATCGATCTCACAATCGACTCCACTATCGGTACCAGCGCGGGACACCCCTGGCCACCGCCCACCCACCGCCGACGGACCACCGACAGGATATCAGCGGGACACCTGCGGGACACCGGACGTCGCCACGGCGGGACACCCCGGGCCGCCGCGCGCCCACCGGGGGGCAGAGGGGCGGTCCACTGCATCCGAATCGCCCTAGCGAAGGCGGGGTCCTTCAGCTCGCGCGCCCACGCAGCTTCGCCTCCTCGCGCGCACGACACGAGCACGAAACCGAAACCGACTTCAGGGGGGGGGGGGCCCTCCATTGCACAGCGATCTCACCCCCCAACTTCCGATGTGGTGGTATCTAGATGTTGCAGTCGATGTGGAGCACTATGTGTGGTGCAGTCAATGTGGTGCAGCATATGTTGTGCAACCTATGCTGTACAGTCCATGTGGTGCGATAGGTGTGGCGCTATATGTGTGGTGCAACCTATGTTGTGCAAACTATGTGGAGCAATCTGTTTGGTGCAATCTATGTGGTGCAACTCACTTGCTCAATTTGAAACTGTCCTCTCCACTGCTCGTGCAAACATCCCACCCTCCCACCCGCAACTTGGTCGCGCGAGCTCTTAAGACTGTAACGGTAGATACCAAATAGCACTTGGCAACGACACCGACGCCGACGACGACAGCGACAGCGACGACGACGACGCCGCCGACAACGACTACGAAGAAACCGTCGACGTCTTCAACGACTTCGACGACTTCGACGACGACGACGACGACTACGACGACCGACGACGAAGACGACGCCGACGACGACGACAATGACACCGACGACGACGACGACGCCGACGACGACGACTAAGACGACGACGACGACGAAAACGACGACGACGCCGACGCCGACGACGACGACACCGACGACGACGCCGATGACGACGACGATGAAAACGACGACGACGCCGATGACGACGAAGACGACGACGACGTCGCCAACGAAGACGACGACGACGACGGAGGAGGGAGGACGACGACGGCGGCAACGACGACAACGACGAGGGAGGAGGCAGGACGGCGACGACGCGAACGACGAAGAGGGAGTGAGGACGGCGACGCCGACGACGACAACGACGAGGGAGGAGGGAAGACGACCACGACGACGACGGCGACGAAATAGGAGGGACAACGACGAAACGCCGACGAAGATGACGAGGGAGGAAGGACGACTACGGCGACAATGACGACGGACACGACGACGACGCCAAGACGACGACGACGACGAGAAAAGACAGAGGACGACGACGGCGACGACGACGACGACGAGGGAGGAGGGAAGACGGCGACGACGACGACGAGGTAAGAGCGCGCGCGCACGCTTTTGTTGAACATCCGTGTTGCGAAACCCTGTGTTTTTAATGTTTTTTGGACACTAGATTTTGAAATCCCTCCGAAACCAAAGAAGTTTGAAGGATTTCGACATGCGCGCGGACGCGGCATTTTGCCGAGGATTCTCGCGACGGCACGCGCGCAAGGGCGTTCGAAAGATTTCGACATGCGGTCGCGCGAAGCTCGTTTGGTAGCATTTTTTGAACATGCTGAAAAACCTTTGGTTTTCTCAAGATTTCGCAAAAGCGCGCATAAGTTGTTTCAGCAAATCCGTGTTGCGAAACCATGTGTTGTTGTATGTTGTTTTGGGCACTCGATCCTGAAATCCTTCCGAAACCAAGAAACTGTTTGAGGATTTCGGCATGCGCGCGCGACGACGTGCACGTGTGCACTTCGTCCCATTTTTTTGCAAGGGATTCTCGAAAATTTCTGATTTGTGAGAAACGAGTGTGCGCGCAGGATGTTTTGCAAAGGATGGCGGGGGGGAGTGACACCTGCTTGGCTGGGATAGAATGACTTCACAAGTAGGATGGACGAGTGTGCAGTATAATTATGAAATCGCAATACCCCAGGGAAGACCGTTTACTCTGGGGGGGGGGGGGGCGGGGGCGACTCTATCTTGCACTTAGAAAAGAGAATCTATATTGTGCAATATCTGTTGTGTAATCTAGGTGGTGCAAGCTGTGTGGCGGCGACGAGGCAGCGACGGGGACAACAGACCTGCCAGGCTGCCATTCAGACCCAGACGACGGTCGGCGACAAGGCGGCGACGGGGCGGCGACATCGACAAGATAGCCGTCAGAAGGCCATTCAGGCCAGACTCCCTGAGAATAGAAGAATCCGTAAGCGCGAACACTGCTTCTGGAGTGTTGTGCCACAAAGAAGAATCCCGACCCGCCTCGCACACCCTGCATGCCGCGGTGGGCAGGCCCAACGGGTGCCTGTCGTCTCTGGGGATTCCGTCCTGTGTCTTCGGTGCTCCCTGAAGATTCCCCCTCGCGCTCTCGGGTGGGGAGCGCTCGAAGCCACATGCTGTTTATGTGCATGTTCCTTCCTCGACCTGACGCTGCCCCCGCTCCCTCCTCCCCCCTCCTGGCACTCTGGTCGCGCCCTCTCCCCGCGACGATGGAGGGGCTCAACTGGCCGGGCAAGACCTGCTGAGCACAGGCCGTTCGGCTCCTCTCTGTCTCGTTTCCCCCTTCAGGGGCAGGGTGGTCTTGCAGTGGAGGCAAGTCTCAAGAAGCCTTCCACAAGAAACCCAACCCTGAGACCCCAGGAAATACATTGATTTTTGGTGTGGGAACGCCACGCTCTCCATTGCAAAAACTATCGAAACCCAAGAAACCCAGGGCACCCTGGAGGCAAGCAAGGTGCTTCTTGGCATGGGCCTCCACTGTAGGGTGGTCGATTGCGCCTCCCTGGTACCGATACCGCTACTCCCCGGACCTCTCCTGGGGTGCGGTCTGATCAGGATTCCGAGGCGAATCCAGCGGTGGCGACGACGGAGGCCCAGGAAGCCCAAGAAGGGGAAAACGAGGGGAGGGCAGAGGTGTGGGGTATGGGTACCTTTTCCTCCTCTGACTCCCTGCCCAGCCCTCGTGAGCGAGAGCGGCTCGTCCCCATGCCGACGTGGAGCGCGCCTCCCTCCTCCAACCCGAGGCACCGCTGCGGCCAGGGCGGTGGCTAGCGCGGTGGCCCCGACCGCGGGTGCCGCCTTGCCAGGGGCTTCGTCGCCGTCGTCGTCGTCGTCGTCGTCGTCGTCGTCGTCGGCATCCTCGTCGTCGTCGTCGGCCTCGTCGGCGGCCTCGTCGTTGGCCCTCTCCAAGACCAGCTCTTCACCCTGCGCCGCTCTTTGGCAGTCGCAGCGCCCCTGGAGAGCGCCCAAGGAACCGAGATCTGGGATCAAGCAAAGGACCACTATTCCTTCCTTTCCTTCCTGGCGACGGCGGCATGCACACCATGAAAATATAGAACACCGCCCCCTCTACGACGAATTTCGCATGCACCTCCATCGCTGGCCCCCAGTGGTGACTTATATTAGGTCGGACATTCTGGCAGGCGGATCTTGGAATATAAATAAAACGTACTCCAACAGTAATCCACAAATAATCAAGAGAGCACGAAACATCGCCCCCAGACTATTTGACCATTTTTGAACACTCCTCCCGTAGAAGGACATGCCCGACTTGAGACTTGCACGCCGCCGCCTTGGATGCCCAGGATTTGTCCATTGGGAGGCGTCTGTGTGTATACTTTTGTGGCGGAGCCCGGCTCGGGGGTCCGAAACCGGCCCGCGGACCCTTCCACTATTTGAGCAGGGACCGACCGCCCCGGCATTCCTATAGGCCTACCACGAACTGTTCCTAGAACCCCACAAATGTTCTAAAAACAAAAGCAAGGCTCTTATAATATAAGCCCGATGCGTTGAACAAGACAGCCTCAGCCAGAAATGTTCTAAGAACATGGTTCGCAAACCACAAAAGATTCTTATAATATTCTTTGATAGGACTATAGGCGAACTAGGAAGCCTCGCCACTGCTTGAACTATGGAACGCCCCGACCCGCATCGCGATGGGGGCCCAGCCATGACGACGAGGAGCCCCGAGGCCCAGGGAGGCCCTCTCCGACGCCCGACGACCCAGCCATCCGACGCCGTGGCTCGTTCCCCCGAGAGGAGTACCTGCCAGACCACCTAGAGGCCTCCTTGACCACCCCAACCCAACCTGAAGACCCGAATTTCGGGTTCCGGGGGAGTGCAGGCTTCATATGCGTTCTTGCCAATATTCCCCGACCCCCTCCCACTGGTAATCCGGGGCCTTCGCGTTGGGTTGGGGTGGTGCGGTGGGCGGTGACCGAGACCCCTCCTCGAGGACGAGTAAGACGGAGGCAAAACGAGAAGAACATCGGGCGCAGATAAATCGAAAATCTCTGAGATCCGGCGGCCCTGGAGGATGTCTCGGGCGCCGTGGACCTTTCAGAGCGTTTCGGATCGCTCTGAGAGCGGTCCAGAAAGCCCTGGAACGGATTGATCCTCGCTCTGGCCCCGCCCGAGGACGAGCACTTTTCATCCCGAGTCGCTTCTTGACCGTCCAGGGGCCCGCAAGAGGGGCCCCCATGAGGCCGAACACTGTCTCAACCCTTCCGTTCCCAGACATGCAGTGCCCGGATTGTTCAAGGCGTGTCCAAAAGAAACCCGACCCTTTCCCCAAGGCCGCCGGTCTTTCATCCCGAGTGGTCTTTCGACGGTCCCGGGCTCGGCGAGGCCCACAATTTTGAAAAACAACGTCCTGATCTCACCAAGACGCGAGCATGTCTGGGTCGTTACTCTCTCGCCGAACCAGAAAAGCAACGACACCACCCCCCACCTACGTCTCCACGGGGCTAAGCGTATACCAGCAAATCTGGCATGGGCGTTTGCATGGCATGCGCTGCGGCCCCCGATGGGCCGTAGCGCAACATGGAGGGCAGTAGGTGGGGTGGTTCGATGCGAGGCCAACTTATATACACCACCGCCGCCCGCAACAGTAACTTACCGCAAAAAGGGTTAGGGGCAGGGTCATGCCAGACGACGCTGCGACGCCACGGCGAAAAGGAGCGCGGCGCAGCTCGCAGGCGCCGTGGCATGGGGAGTTCCTGAAGCAGCAACAGCACTTTTTGGTGGTGGTGTATAACAATCGCTCCCCTTGGTAACCAAAACAATATACACCACCACCGCGCGTGTTTTGATGAATTCTGGTTCGGTCCTTAAGAGAGAGAGGGGGCAGCCCGGTTGCCGCTGGCGGCGGGAAGGGGGATTGCGGGCTTTTCACCATAACAAAACTGCACCAAATCGCATCGGAGATTATTCTCAATCTTGATGGCGGTAGTCATATACTGTGCTCGGAGTTAGAGGAAGAAAGAAGTGCATAAACATAAAACTTACAACGGCCTGAGCGGATTTCTTGGGTCTGCGCTGGACTCCCCTCCCTGGCGCGCTGCTCGCGCCAGGGGCGGCGCCTCGAGGCGCAGCCAGGGATCCAAGCAATCCGCGGCGAGCTCCGAAAGCTTATGCCCATGCTGTTTTTGTCTGGTTGCTTCCCTCTTCTTCCCTTCGAGAGGTGTCGTTGGCTTCTTGGACGACCAGTGAGGCGACGAGGGCCCGGGACGCCCGACACGCACACGCCGCCGCCGCCGGCGCCGCCCGCCTGCCAGGCGGCGGCCGCGGAGGGCCCCGGGGCGCCCGCCCAGGGGAGCAGCGCGGCCACGTGTCTGCCGAGGGCGCCGGGCAGCCTGGCCATGGCCATCTGTGATGGGCTAGTTCTCCACCGCCACGACCAGATGTAGGAGAGGGAGGAGGAGGAGGAGGAGGAGGAGGAGGAGGAGGAGGAGGAGGAGATCGAAGAAGAATAATCGCTAGAAGCAAAAACTTTTGGCGCTCCGCGCGGATTGCTTGGATCTGCGCCGGACCCCCCTCCCTGGCGCGCGGAGCGCGCCAGGGGTGGCGCCAGAGGCGCCGCCAGGGGGGCTTAGCGCGGAGCCAAGAGATCCGCGGGGAGCGCCAACAAGTTCATGTTGGAGCGCCAAAAGTTTCTGCTTATAGCGTTTGTTCTCCTTTGACCTCCTCCTCCTCCTCCTCCTACATATGGTCGTGGTGGTGGAAAATCGGCCAATCAATCTACCCCCTGTCCAGGCGCCGAGGGCACCCTGAGACCCAGGCGCTGCAGCCTTTTGTCACACGGCGCGCTTTCGTGTAGATGGATGCGGCCTGAAGAATGGCGTCGAAATGTTTGAGGGAGCGAGCAATGGCCTAACCATAAAAACTCGGAAGTCCGCGCGGATTTCTGGGATCGGCGCTGGAGCCCCCTGGCGGCGCCTTCAGCGCCGCCCCTGGCGCGCTCCGCGTGCCAGGCGCCGATCCGAGAAGTCCGCGCGGACCTCCGAGTGTTTATGTTTATGTCATTGCTCGCTCCCCTAATATCGGGTCTTGGGGGCTCTGGTCGTGAATCTGAGCGTTGTCGTACCCGGCGTTTCGACCTTGGGCGGCAGGGGGGGAGGGCGGGGTCTGGCTCCAGATCTCTGCCTACTAACGCGACTTCTTGCAGCAATGCGTCCATAATGGGGAGGGCTCCGCCTGCTCGGAACAGGCGCCAAAAGCAGCCAAAATGTATTCCATATGGGGGAGGGGGGCTGCTTTGGGGGCCTGGGACCATCACAGACGGATCCGGCCTGAAAAAGTGCCGTCGGACTATTTTTAGGTCGGGCATGTCCCTCTACAGGCAGATTTGTGGGGAACCTTACACATAGTTTTCACAGACTCAACAGTAGACAAAACTGCAAAAAATCCTCACCGGACTATTCTTGCACTATTTTTGAATTTTGCTCTTGTAGAGAGACAGGCCGGACGTAAGACTATTTTGTCCGGGGCTCTGGCCGTGATTTTTCGCAGTGCCGCAGTGCGTCGCAGCGTCGGACCTCAGGGCGCTGAGCGGCGGAAGCGCCCCCTCCGCTGCCGGAGCGCGGGCGCCGCGGAGACTCCTCGGGAGCACCCGAGGGGCCGAAAACTGCTGCGGGGGAGAGGGGGCGGGGGAAGAGGGGGGAGACGGGCAGGAGCATGACCAGAGCAAGGGGGAGGAGGGTGGGGGAACCAAAGCAGTATCAGTGGTGCGCTGCCGCGAGGATCCCAGCAGCGTGTTACTCTGAAAGAAGCACGAGGCCTCCTCACAACAACGCGCTGAGGGGCTACCAGCGGCAACGTGTCAGTGATACTCTGCCTGCCTTCCGAGAGGTGGCGCAGGAGGAAGGGAGGGAGGCGGGTGGAGGCGGGCAGAGGAGGATGACGCCTACGACGCGGGTCGAAGCAGGACGACGACACGAGGCGGAGAGCCCGCAGGGCGCGCAGGCCTCTGCGCAGGAGCGACCACAGGCTCGAAAGAGGGCCGCTCCCACGAAAGCACGAGCCAGGTCCTGGGAGGGGCCCCCCTGAGATCCGACGCCGCAGCAAAACAGCATCGCGCGACAGCAGGGACCGGAGCTCTGGACTGCAGCCTTCCGCGGCACTTCTCGAGCCGCATCGATCCACGAAGGCCGGCCCGGAAGCAGGCGAGCCCCGAAGAAAGATGCATGCCTGAAGTGATCCACACACCGACTGCCAGGAGAAGCTGGTTCATGGAGCCTCTGGTGTGGAATGCGCGCCAGAGGCTCAAGGTTGCACTGGCCCAACAAGCTCTGGGAGAGAAGAGGGGGGCGGAGGAGGCAGAGCGGAGGACGAACACGTCGGGCGTGAAAAACTGCAGTGCCTGGATCTCAGGACCCCGGGGACCGAGGTGGAGCGGACGCGGATCCGGCGTAGGAGCCGGCGCTGCCTCAGCTCGCCTGCACGCAAGGATAGGCGGCGCGCCAGGGGGGGAAGATGAGAAGGGGCGAGCCTTCTCAGACGGCTCGGAAGGTCCCTGGCTTTTTGAAAATTGTTCGAAGCAATTCCCCGAAGACACAACAAACTTCTCAGAAGGCGCGAGAGCTTCTGAGAAGTCCCGCCGCCTTGTGAGAAGGCCTTCTCCTTCTCATTTCCCCCCCCCCTCGCTCGCAAGCATGACCTGTAGGGCACGAGCCAAGCACAAGCGCGCAAGCCAGCGCCGGGGCCCCGTGGGTCCGCACCAGAAGGTCACTCCTGCGACAGGCCAGTCTTGCCCTGACATCCTCCGATCTGATGTTTTTCAATCCGCGGCTCCAGAGATCCCGACCCCTTCTCAAGGGGTGCAGTAGGAGCCCGACTACTAGGAACCCTCCGCAAGAAACCCAACCCTGCAGCCTGAGACCCCAGGACGTTCAGGAGCGTCACGCTTCCCATGGCAAAACCATCGGAACCCAAGAAGCCCAGGGCACCCTGGAGGCGAGCAGGGTGTTTCGTGGCATGGGTCTCCACGGTAGTTTGGCGCCCCGGATCCACTCTTGATGGTCCCGGGGCCCGCGAAAGTGGAGGCATCCTAGATGGGTCCGAGTAGATGGGGTCGGAAGATCGCACCGCATCGCCGATACATCGGCGATGTATCGGCGATATATCGGCGATGCACCGGCGATGGAACGTCGACGTCTGTGATGCATCGGCGACGTCGACGTGAAGCAAAGCGGGCTCCACATCCAGCCGCATCGCCGATGCATCGGCGACACGGCGCGATCCTCCGACCCCATCTACTCCGACCCCACCTGGGAGGCCCAGATCGGAGCTCGGGGTGCGCGTGGCCGAGCAGCTGGCCTGCCGATATCGTGGCGCGACGGTGCGGCAGGCGGCCGCCTCGGAGTGCGTCGCGGCCCGCGCCCCACGCCCCGGGGAGAGCCGCGCGCCGGGGGCCGCGCCAGCGGAGGGTGGCTCTTCCGTGCAGCCCGCGAGGCTCGGGAAGCAACTCCTGGAGGCCTTGGTGCCTGAACCGCCGCGGGCCATAAGAACATCACGAAGAGATGTTTCCCTTACAGTGCGGACGCGGCGGCAGCAAACTCTCGCAAGAAACTTAGCCCTGAAGACCCGCGCGAGAGGTGCGACTGGGGGGAAGCCCAGAGCAACCTGACCGCAGCCTGTTCTTCAACGGCCGCGGGAGGTCACCACGCAGCGTGCGGAGCGAAGAAGCCCACGGTGCCCTGACGGAACGTATCTGGTTTCTTGATGCGTGTCCCCAGTATTTTCGACCTCTGGGGGCCCTCGCCGGGCCCCGGGGCCGCAGCGGAAACCACTGTGGATCGCGAGCTGGGATCGCTGTCGGCTCCGCTGCCAACTTGCATGGCAGGCGACATGGATGAAAGGTAGAAGACATGGCGGCAATGGCAAGAACATACATGGGGTCCGTGTCCCTTCAATACGTGTTACGACTTGACGTGTGAACGCTTGAGCCGCGGTGGTGGCGGGGGCGCGCGCGGGTCCTATTCAAGTGAGGAGACGAAGGATGATGATGATGATGATGATGATGATGATGATGCTGATGCTGATGCTGATGCTGATGCTGATGCTGATGCTGATGATGACGATGACGATGACGATGATGATGATGATGATGATGATGATGATGATGATGATGATGATGATGATGATGATGATGATGATGATGATGATGATAAGGAGGATGAGGAGTAGAAGAGAGAGGAGGAAGATACTGTACGCGCACGTGCGCCGCGGACGGCTAAAAGCCGGAATTGAGGAGGAACTCCTGAGGGACCCCTGCAGCCTACTGAAGGAGCCTCCTCGATACGTATGCTTGAGCCCGCCCTCCGCGAGAGATGCCTCCAGAACGCCCACTCGCTGACGCCCATCGTGAACGAAAAAAATATCCTCCCCCTCCTCATCCTCCTCCTCCTGCTCCTCCTCCTCCTCCTCAACACGCCATCCCACCCTTCACCCTCCATCCCATCTGCCTCCTCCTCCTTCTTTTCCTCCTCGTCCTCCTCTTCCAACTCCGCCTCCTCCCTCCCTCCCTCCTCTGCCTCCTCCGCCCTCCTCTCTCCCTCTCCCTGCCTCTCCACCCCTCTCTCGGCTGCCCCCTTCTGGTGCTGCTGCTGCCCCCAGACCCTCCCGCGAGCGGCGGAGGCCACGAGGCAAGAGCGCGCAGCTGCGTGGATTGGAGCCCCAGCCCGGCAGAGTGGAGCACGACGAGGGCGACGAGGCTGACGCCGCCGCCGCTGCCGACCGCGGTGGCGACCGACGGCGACGACGGGCCACGGCGCACAGGACGAGGACGTCGCCGACGGCCACAGACGTCCGACGAACGATCTGTTGTCCCATGCGCGGGCGCAGAGGTTACGACCCCTTGCGATCCTGGCGACGCGCCATGCCCAAAGAGCGGATACCGTGTCGCTCCGCTCCGCGGGGGCGGAACATTCGGGAAAGCTCCGCATCTGGACGCCTGGGGACCGCGAAGTGGACAGCGTGTCGCGCCAAGGCGTGGGGGGCCAGAAGTGGCGGAGCGGCACGCTATCCAGAAGTTCCTGACAGCACCTCGGGGGTAGTTTCTTGTCCCAGCTCCGTTTTCGACGGCTCCTGGCCCCACCAGGCCGAAATCGAGAAAAACAAACGCCCTGGCCGAAAAGACATCATGCTGTCGGAGGGATATGGGGCGACGGCAGCGACGGCGCGGGTCCGCAGCCGCGGGGGCCGCGGGACAACGGCGGAGGGGGCTCTCAGCGCGGGGGGCCTCGTCCGAGAGCCTCCTGGGCGGGGTCGGCGCAAGGTCCAGCGCGAAGCCGGACGGCCTCGCTGGAGGGCGGGCGCCAGAGCGATGGAGGCTCGAGGTTCGAGGAAGTTCGAGATTCGAGGGACTCCTTCTCTCCCTCGTCGTCGTTGTTGTCGTCATCGTCGTCGTCCTCCTCCTCCTTCTCCAACCCTTCGCTCTTTCTCTCCACCTCCTCCTCCTCCTCCTCCTCCTCCTCCTCCTCCTCATCATCATCATCATCAGCATCATCAACAGCTGCAGCATCTCGTCAACATCATCACTAGCAAGCTGTATCAGTACCATCCGCATCTGCATCAGCATCAACATCAGCATCAGCTCATCATCCTCATCCTCATCCTCATCCTCCTCCTCCTCCTCATCATCATCACCACCATCATCACATCAGCATCATCATCATCATCATCATCATCATCATCATCATCATCATCATCAGCATCATCATCATCATCATCATCATCATCATCAGCAGCATCAGCATCAGCATCATCATCACCATCATCATCATCATCATCATCATCAGCATCATCATCATCATCATCATCACCATCATCATCATCATCATCATCATCATCATCATCATCATCGTCATCATCATCATCATCATCATCATCATCATCATCAGCATCATCATCATCATCATCATCATCAGCATTCGCACCATCATAATAATCATCAGCAGCATCATACTTCCCTCTATGCATGCTCCTTCCCCTCCCATCCATCCCTCAGGTCCTCCTCCATTTCTCCTTCTCGAAATCATCACACTCCTCATAAAACATGTGTGTGCAACGGGGGCTGGACGGACCAGCCATGAGGACGGGGAGGATGAGAAGGAGGAAGGCGGTGGAGGAGGACGAGGGGAAGGAGAAGGAACAGCAGGGGTATAAGAAGGGCCACCTCCCTCGTCCTCCTTCCTGGGGTGCATCTGCCATTGCATCTCCTCCTCCTCCTCCTCGATGTTCTCTTCCATCTGCGCCTGCTGTTTCTCCACCTCGATGTTTTCGTTCCTCCTCGTTTATCCTCCTCCTCGCCCCACGCCCACCTCCACCTGTTTCCTCCGTCGCACCCCTTCCTCCCTTCTCAGCCTTCCACATCCTCCCTCCCTCCAGCTCCCCCTTCCCTCCCTCCCCTCCCTCCCTCCCTCCCCCTCCCCTCCCTCCTCCTCCCCCTCCTCCTTCCTCCCCCCCCTCCTCCTCCTCCTCCTCCTCCTCCTCTCCTCCTCTCCTCCTCGTCCTCCTCCTCCCCCCCCTCCCCTCCTCCTCCTCCTGCTCCTCCTCCTCCTCCTCCCCCCCCCCTCCCCCTCCTCCTCCTCCTGCTCCTCCTCCTCCTCATCCTCATCCTCCTCCCTCCT